GCGCCGTCGCTCGAAGTGTTCAAGGCCAGGCTGGATGAGGCTTTGAGCAACCTGGTCTAGTGGAAGGTGTCCCTGCCCATGGCAGGGGAGGTTGAAACTAAATGTTCTGTAAGGTCCCTTCCAACCCAAACCACACTATAGAATCATAGAATCATAGAATCACTAGGTTGGAAAAGACCTTAGAGATCATCCAGTCCAACCGTATCTGTCCACCACTAAACCATATCTCTCATATAGTATGCAGGATCTAAGACTTTATTTGGAACATATTTGGACAGGAAGAACTCACAGGCAGAGTCAAAACTGTGAAACTGTAAAAAGACTCCAGACATGTAAGGTAACAATACTTATTAAAAAATGCTATAGAATTGTTAGTTCTACAAATTAGGCAAAAACATTGACTGCCAGAAGAGTATATCATATGGACATCAAAAAGAACTGGACATTTCAGATGCATGGTATCAAATAAAAGGAGTAAGTCTTGAATAATTACCAACTTGCTCTCTCCAGCACTCTAGGGAGAAATTTATTTTCTATTACCTTTAAAACTGTATTTTAATGCCCTTGTTGTATCTAAGACAATGTAATCAATCTGCACATCAGCCTCTCAAAATGTAGCTATCTATTAATGTTCCTCCAGCACAGCACGTCACATCACTGTACCCTGCCATCATAACAAAGCACAGCGTATGGCCGGAGCACACACCAAAAGTAGCAGATAAAAAGGAAAGAAGTTGCTTGTGACAAGCACCCTTCATCTCCTCTCTACAATTCAAATATTAAGATTTAACACTATTCTTGCTTTACAGGGTACAGCAAATGAGTTCCCACTCTGGAGAACACAATTACACTGCACTCTCCCGTGATCCACTTCCTTTCCAAGACCCAGTTCCATCTCCACTCCCATGCAAAGCATCACTGTACAATACTACATGCACTTCTCAACTTTTTCAAAATTTTGGTGTATCATTTCTGTGGTTGAAAACCCTGTCCGCAAAACCAAACATTCCATCCTGTCAACCATTCCTTACTACTTTCAATAGCCTGCCAATTTCTTTTAGTCACAGGCAAGCATTTGAGAATTCCCACAACTTCACTGTGTCAGGAAACATACCAATGGGGTATTTATTTGCTGAAAAAGATTTAAAACTAAAAGCAGAGATGGAAAAAGAGGATGTGAGTGCAAACATACCTGGATCTAAAGGACATTCATTAAGTTTGGCAAACTCTGCTGGAGTTTTCCCAGTAAGAACACAATTGGAGCTACGCAGCATTATAGGCATTCTGCAGGAAAAACAGTTAACTTTTACTTCAGATAGAAAAATCTGAATAGTCAAATTCAGAACAAAATCCACACTAAGCAAACTGGAGAAAACACAGTTAAGCTAATTAGAACACATGCAAGCTGTGAAGAAGAGGTTTTTCCTTTAATCCTCCCTTATTTCACTGACTGTGTAGTTTGAAAAGGGAGTCTTGGAATTAGACATCCACTGGCAGAATCTGCAGGCTTCCTATTTAATTTTTATGCAGCTACTGCCAGCATTCACGCCAAGCACGGCCACCAAGGCCAACAATTACCAGTGCAAATACTCCTGGTCCCCAAAAACAGTTCAGCCTGCACTGAAGAACATGAACATGCCCTGGCAGACCCACCCCTACCATTTTTAATTAGAAAATGGTAGATCACATCTGATTACCCACACTGCTATCACACCTTCTGGCTGCAGACAGATAGTGTCTAAAATCCAACCCAGGCATGAAGTTTCCCCAGTAGTAGCTCTGATTTCTCTGGTGTCTTAGCACAGAAGCCTGCAGCAAGCATTTGGTGAAGCAACACGAAGCGGTGCAAAAATAATAGTCCCAGAAGTCAAAACCAAATTCTGTGCTTAGGGAGGTAAAAAAACAGAGAAACTAAAGATGCACAGCCTGGATACAAGGCAAAACTTCTTCACCACGAGGACAGCAAAGCAGTGGAACAAGCCATCCAGAGAGGCTGGGCAGCTTCTGTGCATGGCGGTCTTCATGGCCTGACAGGATAAAGCGCTGAGCAGCCCAGTCCCATCAGAGCTGTCCCCATTTTGCAGGAGGTTGGACGAGAGACCTCCTGAGGACCCTTCCAACCTGAATTATTCTATGATCCTGTGACGAAGTCAGGGAATGTTCAAGTTCCTTTGATTTTGTGTGTATACACTGCAGACTTACTAGGAATTCAGCTTATTCAACATCTAGCTAGCAATAATTTTGCATTTATTAGAGCACTTTTTACAGTCAGCTTCATAACACACATTTCCACTCTCAGATTTTTCATCGGAACTTTCAAAAGACAGCGTATTTTATTCCAATGACAAAGCTGCGTTCTGCACAAGACAGTAACAGCATGTCACTACACGTATCAAGAGGTCTCCGTGCCCTTTAGTGTCCTGTACAAAAAAGTGGATTTTTTGATCCAACTTACAGAAGAAGAGAGGAAAGAACATACAGCTTTCCTGTCCCAGCCTGAACTACATGTCAAACAAGAGCATTGTATATAGTCACCTGGCAAAAAGAAACCAGCGCAATACTAGGGATAGATGAGGAAAATGATTTCCTATGAAATAACTGGATATTAGCAGTTTTTAATAGCAAAGTCTTTTTGCATGTATACCCTTAAAACCAGTTGGACAAATGCCTAGACTAGTTTCTGTAGTGCTTCCTTTGAAGTACTGTATTTTGTATACAAATTGATAACCTACTTTAGTGAAAATGCACTTGAATTTTTCTTTGCCTATGGCACACGCCATGAAATAATTAAAACAACTCAAATTTAGATGGTCTTTTAAATTAAAATTTTTCTTTTCTTAAGGAATGACAGAACAACAAACTGTCACTACAGTTACAGAAGCTTGGTTTTGTAAATGCAGTGCTGTGTATCATGTACTACTGCAAGAGTTAAAGTATATTTGTTTTAAAATGAAAGCTTAAAATTTCTCTACAAGAAGCGTAGCTCCTCAAGTATGCTTCTTCTCTTTCCTGCCAGTATCCCTCCCACCTTTGGTGAGACGCAGTGTCACACATAAAGGCACTGACCTTTAAAGCCAGCAGGGTTGGTCTTTAAGAAACCTTGTCTACAAAAGACAGATATCTTTATTGCCTTTACAATAGAGTTCTGCTTTCAACAAGTGCTAGAACTGCTAGGTATTTTGCCTTTTTGGTATGGTTAAGAGTTTGGTTTTCTCCCTAAGGCACATTATTTTTTCTTTAAGAAATTAGACAGCCTTCACAACACTAATAACCTCAAGTCTGACAGCCTTTAGAAAAACAAAACCAGCAAAAAATCCTCAACATTTTGCCATAAAGTTCAGCCTTGGCGTTAAAATAAACCAATCTTAAAGGAAAGCTGAACCTAGTATGGAAGGACTAATGCTTGCTTTACTGGTTTTACCATCCACCTTCCACAGATGTATTCCTACATATTATGTATGAAAGGCTGAGTAATTTGGCTACAAAGCAAACATGATTATTTTCATTTTGCAGTAATGTGACTTGCAGCTCTGGTATTCTTTCACATATTTCCCTCTTTGGTTTTATGTCAATACAAACACAGACAACATCCATCCGTATATCCATCCTTCTTTGCAAGAAGACAGATTTCCAGAAGCTTTTGCAAAACAAAATCTTGTAACAGAACCTAACAATCACAGATGTTCATCAAGATCTGCCTGCTGACTGCTTCTTTTAACAAAGAAGCAACGTTAGCCTACACTTACTCTGCAGTAAAAACTCTTCCCAACACAGCAGCAGACAAAAATAACACCAGAAGCTCGACATAGGGTATGTTACCTGCCAATGGGTAATGCATTGCGTATGATCCTCTGGCTACCTCGTGTATATTCAATGTCCACTGTAATCGGGGCAGAGTAAGTCATGTCTCTCAGGCGGCACTAAAAGGAGAACAGTCATCTGGTTAGATGTTGGCTTACAAGCTGAAGAGCCTCTCTTAAAACATGCCATGTTTGCCCTGCCCTCTGTAAATGCTCACAAAGAAATCAAGCAAAGCGAAGCCTGACCGAGCCCTTCATGGTACCAGGGCTATGTTTGACAAAGGCTCCTGTTTAAAACAAAACCAAAAAAAACCCCAATACAACTAATGTGATGTTTCAAAAGCAGCCAGTGGATCTATGTCTTCGGGGAACAGCACTGCAGAGCACAACTTCTAAACTGTTTAATTAAACAAACAAGCCTAATAAGCAGAGCTGACACAAAGACCACACTGTGCCACAGGCTCCGAGAGCAGCTCTCAGCTCAGGGATGTTCCCATATGAAGACTCTCAATAGCTGAAGAGTTGTGCTGTCATATGAAGTCTGATAGAAGGGAAACATGCCAGTCAGAAGGACACTGTGTGACCTCATTAACAGAATGAGCAAATCTCATTGCCTGGTACCATTTCTAAAGATGCCTTACAGAGGGCTCACTACAGCATCGCTTCCTGTAAGGATTCCCAGAATCTGTTTGCCAATTTCTCAGACAGCAAGCGAAGCAGGACATACATATCAGGGGGACATTATACAGCTCAAGGTTCAATCATTTCTAAACCGACTTTGGCAGTCTGCTCTCCTTCAACCTCACCCTATGGGTCTGCTGCTAGCCCCTGAGGTATTGCGTATCTTGGCACAAGACAAGGTTTGCTGCATTTGCTGAATACAACAGAGCAACTCACAGCAGGCCATTCGTGACCTCGCTGAGCGTTCTGGACCTTTCAGCTCCAGAATTATAGATTTATCCATATTCAGACTTGAACATTTTTGGTTCTGTAGCCTTTCAGTGTACTGATCATGCATTAGTAAAAGGCAATTAAGATGGTGCTGTACATTAAGTATGCAACTGTATGGAAAAATATGCCTCAAGAAACATTGCAAACTGGGTGCTCCTTCTCTCCACTTTAAAAAGTAAACCACTACCTTATAATAAAATACTGACATGCATCAGCAGTTTTCAAGCTGTGACTTGTAGGAAACCAGGTCCCATTGTGCTCCCAGCAACTTCATTGAATTTAAAAGTAACTGAGAGTATTTCCACTTTCTAATTACTCAAACCTGTATGAATAGTTGATGAAACTCCCATAAGGACTGCGTAAGAAGGAGAGTTAGACAGCCTCATTAGTATTCCTTAGGGGAAAAAAAGGCTTTGAGATTCTTTGTGCGTGCTTTGTCCACACAAGATGCAGACATAAAATAAGAATTACGCACTGTATCATTCCAGCATACGTATTTTTGCATTTTGTTGATGTAACTTCTCCTCACATCAGACACTTAAGATCAAAGACAGGCATGACTTGATCTTCAAGGAAACCAAATTTGATAGAAACCTCCCAAATTTGATTGAAAATAGGTAAAATACTCATGACCTTATAAAAATCTGATCATTTTAGATGTCTTTGGAAAGGAATTTTATAAGCCTCTAACAGAAAAGAGTAATGGCCACTCATAAGTATCCAATCTTTTTGTTTGGTTTGGGTTTTTTTATAAATTGCACCCCTAGTTTGACCTGATCAGCATCCTATTTAAGAAACTACCTGTGGCCTTCATGTGTGTATAACACACTGGAGAAAAAAAATGAAGTGACGCACGAGCATTAAGCATCAATGAGGAATTATCTGAGATGCAAGAGTAGTTTATTCTAAGTTAACAGTATGCTCTGTGAAGCACTTATTTTGCCCTCCTCTGCTTGCAGAGTGACTTTAGTTCTACAGTAAGCAAGCATTTCAGTACTTGGGTTCTTGGATACAAGTCGTTAGCCACAAGCAATTTTTTTGCAGGCAATTTCATTCATATAGGGAAAATCTTTCCCACTGCATTTTGTGCACGTTCATCCCTACTGATTTGACATGAGCTACACATTTGGGAGATCCATGAGCTGCCCTCCATTACATCCAATTGCACTACTGATGGCTGAGTTACTGGCCTCGTGTAAAATCCTTCCATCGAGTTAAAAGGGATTTGAGCCAGGTGGCTGGAGACAGCAAGGTGGCTGTGCACAAAGGGCACTCACTAGATGGCTTTTTTTACAGGTTTCCTCCAAAGTACAGAATGTCTTTTGTGACAGAATCTAAAGTGTGCCACCTACATTACATGAAAAGAGAAACCTCAGCAATCCAACTTCAAGTATCAAGAGTATATATAGCAAGGAAGAAGTGTCTGATGTGTGAATTGATTTATTAGGTTGACAATAGGCTGTATGTAGGCAAATGGGGAAAAAAAAAGTGCCAGTTCCAGTTCCAAGCTCAGTTCCTATTCTGAGGCCAGAAAGAGGTTGTCAGTACCTCTGTTGCAGTCATATAAACCTCGAAGCACAGCAGCAGAAGAGGAATACTTTGGTCTTGAGCAATCTCTGAAGGGATCTGAATGGCTTTAGATATCTGGAATCAACCCTAAAATGTCCAAGCCTTATCTTAGTTTACTGCTTTCTTCTATGTACAAAATCTACCTTATACCCTGCCAAAAGCAACAGACTGATTTCAGTCACAGCATCTCTATCCCAGAAGTACACAATCCATTTGTTAACCTACATGCTTATAGCAGTGCAAAGAAGTTAAATACGCTCCCCACAATGCTCTTCTGCAGTTTCTTCTGATTTTATCAACTTCCACCTGTTTCTGCTCGAAGATTTTGCTTTCTGAAATCAGTCTTAAAAAATCAGAGAAAAAAAAAAAGAAAGAGATGCATTCCCAAGAAAGACTGGGAAGGAAAGGGAGACTGAAGTGATCTATGGAGCAGACAATAGCTAGGCTAATACTAAAAAGGAATTAATAAAAACATCAAAGAACGCTACATCGTAGCGTGAGGACTTTAGCTGCATCGTAAGGAGTTCTGCAAGATTAAGCAAGAGCAGTACTTCCCACTACTTTCATGGAAACCCACTCAAATACAGCTACCATCAAACACTGAATACAGCTATTCACACGTCAGAAAAGAAAAAAAATTACACTTATTACATGATGTTTAAATCTCTGAGGCTCCATCCTACAGTGACGGCGGAATGCACTGTATCACCTAACGCAGCACGCACTGTCATGGTTTAGCCCCAGCAAGCAACGACATACCACACAGCTGCTCACTCACCTCCCCAGTGTGTGCTAAAACCAGCATATGCACATACTCCAAGTTACATCTGCAGCTACTACGCAAGGCATTCCCAAGATCCAACAAACAAGACAGATGCAAACATTAATACCTCATGAGGTGATACAGGTCGTGTCACATTGAAGCTTTCTTCCACGTCTGGAGTACCCACATAGATATTCAGGTACCTGTAATACAAACAGTTGCACAGTGAGCAATGAGCCAAATATTTTTTAAGGCGACATAAAGGAAATAGAATTCTACATATACTGAAAAATGAAGTTACTCTGAGCATAGGTTGATTAATAGTGAGCAATGATTCTTCCCAAAGTAACTCACTGTATTTGAGCTGTGTCCTAGTTATTTAAAATTTGAACTGCACATGCAATAAACCCCAAGTTACCCTTGCAAACAGACAAAAAAGAAAATCCCACCTGTCATTTGAGATTACTAAATTACAGAAAAATGGTGACACAAGTTATTGTTAACAGCTGGTCTGCTTCACATTATTATTCTTTAAATCATCTTTCAGTAAGTGAGAGGTCAGTCATGGAAAATACTGTCCTGATATATACGTTCACAGGTGCCTATACACGTTTTATAGCCAGGAACAAACCCATGAGATACAGAAATCGTTTCATGCTTACTTCAAGTACCACATTGGGTCAGCATCACTTGTAACTTTTTCATTGGCCTTCATGATTTTCTTTATCTGGAAGGGAAAATCAAATACAATCATGTACCTTTTCTGAGTGCTAAGAGCCACTCTCTTCCCACCAAGAAAGCATACCTCTACATTGATGAAATAGTTGAATGAGTCTATGTGCTGTTTCACAAGTCCTTTCACCTGGAAAATACACGCACGCAACAAATAAAATTAGCTTCAACAATATTAATCACACAAGGCAGAAATTAAGACATAAGCATTTGTAATAGCTTTTGGATCTGTGCTAAATTCTTTCAGTTGTCAAACTTCTGAGAACTGCCTGGATATCGGGCTGGTTCTACACTGTACCTTTCCAGCTTTACACCAGAGCTGTCATTGTTCTTTGAGTCAGAAGAGCAATTCAGTAACTGCACAAAGTAAACAGCCAGTAGACTTTGAAATTCACATAAACAAACAGAAGGAAGTCAAAATATTTTATCAGTTTCCTGTTATTCTGAAATTATTTTAATCATTTATAGTATAATGAACCATGTGTGCTGCTTGAGAAAGAAGTCTGCACCCTGACAAGAGCAGCTGCCAGAAGGAAGAATGAGAGGGAGAGCCAATGGAGATGGGGGAGACACAGATGTGAAAGAGAAGTCAACAGGCAAGAAAACAGCCACAGAGAAGGGCAGGGCACTCCTAAGAAATCTGAAATTGATCTGTAGGCAGGAACACAGAGAACAAGCCCAGGGGTAGCATCACACAGGATAAACAGTACCCCGTTCCCCCAGGTAATGAGTTGATACAGTACATTTCCAGTATTTAATGCATTCAGAGCAATCAAAAGAAGGGGCATTACACTAAGCAAAATGATCTGGGATTAAAGGAGAAAAAGAAAGATTTTGGCCTGATGGAATACTAAGAGAAATATTCGTTTTGTTAATAGATTGGTGTTTGCAGAAATAAAAAGTGTTAACCATCCTAACTACAGTGCAAAATTCAGCCTTGCAAAGGGAAGTGTTAGGTGACACTGAGACATGTGCTCACAGGGCTTTAAGCTCTGAAACACCACATGACAACTAATGTGTTACGAGACTTAGAATGTCCCCAGAGCAAAATTCTTTAGATAAAACTTTCCCTAATTTACAAAAAAATTGCACGTCATATGATATTGGCAAGAAAATATTATGTATTTATTAGTGTCTAGAAATTAGGATGGTAGTTCTTTCCATTTTTTTTATGAGGTCACATCAACAGCTTTATTGGAAGAAATCTCCACTACAGAAACTGTAATGCGCAACGTCAGCTTTGTACAGCCGTAACACTGCTGGCATAAACAAACCAGCATGCAACAGAAAGGCCAAACCACCACCAGCAGCCCCAGAGTAAAGGGCTCACCGGCTGGAAGTAATGTGGGATGGCTACAGCTAGCATAAAGCAGACAGTAAATTGCACCTCACAATCAGCAGCCCCCCCCCTTCTTCACAGCCTCGAGAATTCAGACAATATTACTAGCTCGAGCTGGTGATGGCAGTTCATGCGGTTGCTAGGAGAGATCCAGGAACAGGATTCATTAGGCCCTGAAGCATCTTCACAGCCCTGAACCAAAGTGAAAACATGCACACCCCGTAACTAACTTCTGAACTTTGTTTTCCTGCCAGGATCAAACACACAAGGGTGCAACAAAAAGAGAAGTGTGGTTATGGGAACCGGGAAGGAAAGGAATTAACACAGTGGCTGAAAAGAACCTTGCTGAAGCAGACAACATTTAGGAAGACTGGTAAGGGGTGCAGAGGTGGCTGCAATTCCCTGAAGGTACCTATGGACATCACAGACTTTACCTGCCATCTTTACGATACAATTTTCATGACCGCCTTTCGCTTTCCTCGCTTCCGACTGTTTGTTAGTCCTGTTACATTCAGTGGCAGTTTACACAGAGCTGTGCCTTCAACTAGTACCAGATTATATGAGTAGCAGTGTAATTAAGACACTAGTAATCTTTGAGTTCAGTCAAGCTCTGACTTCATGAGGGAAGAGATGCACATATCCAAGCCTTTGCAGAATCCAGATCTGCAAAGATCTGGATTATATGCTTCCCATGACAAAGACAAGCCCAAACCTAACACCGCAGTCTTATGCGAAGACCGCGAATAGGGTCTCTAGGTGCCAGTAAAACAGTACAGTAACCTGGAAACATCACACATATACATTGTTCACTGATAACAGCATTAGAAAAATGCAAACCTCTAAAAAGATGCCTCCACAAATTAATCTGTAAATTAATGAAGAAACCAATCTACGTAACAAGTTTATCCATAACTGCACGGAACTCAAAAAAAACCAAAAACTTGCCAGGTCTACACAGAAGGTGAGGACAGATATTCTGAGAAACAGAAAAGCTGGAAGAGGGAATGTCAAGTTAGAAGGGAGACAAAGTATTCATGCCATGAAATGAGTGCGTAACACTAACCTTTAGAAATGCTGGAAGAAGTCTCCATTTTTCCTGAAAACAAAAAACAGTTTGAAATACCTTTCCAGAGTGACCAAACATCTAAGATGCTTGAGCTTTTTCTTTTTGTATTATTATAATTTTTAAACAGTGACATTATTTAAAATCAGATTAATTTAGGAAAAAAAAGACTGTTCAAAGCCAACCTATATGAGTAAAAACACAACAGGGAGATGCCTTGGATCACCTTAGTTAGCCATATGTACTGTGCAATATTTACTCAGGACACAACAGGACACTGTCTTTTCTAAAAACAACTTATGTGAGCATATATACTTCTTAGAAGATTCCTTACTAACATGTCCTCATTTAAGAACAACTAACCTTTTTTTTCTCCTGTTAACATTATAAATTATATTCTTAGCAAGGGAAGACTTGCTACAGCTTTTACTTTACAAAATAGAATCACAGAACGGTTTGGGTTGGAAGGGACCTTAGACCATCCAGTTCCAAGCCCCCTGCAGTGGGCAGGGAACCTTCCACTAGACCAGGTTGCTCAAAGCCTCGTCCAGCCTGGCCTTGAACACTTCCAGGGATGGGGCATCCACAGCTTCTCTGGGCAACCTGTTCCAGTGCCTCACCATCCTCTCTGTTAATTTTTTTTCCTGATACCCAATCTAACCCTCCCCACTTTCAATTTAAACCCATTATCCCTTGTCCTGTCACTACAGGCCCTTGTAAAAAGTCCCCCCGCAGCTTCCTTGTAGCCCCTTCAGGCACTGGAAGGTGCTATAAGGTCTCCCCAGAGCCTTCTCTTCTCCAGGCTGAACAAGCCCAACTCTCTCAGCCTGTCCCCATAGCAGAGGTACTCCAGCCCTCTGAGCATCTTCGTGGCCTCCTCTGGACTCGCTCCAACTGGTCGATATCCTTCTGATGTTGAGGGCTCCACAGCTGGACACAGCAAGTTTGCCGATTACACCAAGTTGTGTGGTATGGTCAACACGCTGGAGGGAAGGGATTCCATCCAGAGGGACCTTGACAGGCTGGAGAGGTGGGCCACTGCCAACCTCATGGAGTTCAACAAGGCCAAGTGCAAGGTCCTTCCTGCACCTGGGTCAGGGGAGTCTCAAGGTACAGGCCAGGCTGGGCAGAGAGAGAGCAGCTCTGAGGAGCAGGACTGGGGGGTACTGGTTGATGAAAAGCTGGACATGAGCCAGCAGTGTGTGCTGGCAGCCCAGAATGTCAGCCGTATCCTGGGCTGTATCCAGAGAAATGTGGCCCATGCAAGAATCTCAGCCCTGGGAGCAACATTTGCAGACGTGGGTCTCTGTAAAACCTACCAGTCCCTAACTCCTACAGAGATGTAACAGAACTATCCAAAGTACGGACAAGCATGAGCATATCAAGATTCCTACAAACGTTTCCATTTCTATTCTTCGATGATCACAGGGAACATCGCATTACACCAGCCCCACCTTCCTCCCCCAAGGCATGGGGACCCCACCCCAGATTTGGGATGAGGAATAGAGGTGGGAGGCGGAGGTGAGGAGGCCTAGCCAGCAGAGAGTGAGGTGGCACCACTTCGTCCCCGGAGACAGCACCCCGTGACAGACACAGAGCAGCACCTCGGAAGTTCAGCCGGACGTTCAGCTTTTCAGCCGGACGTTCAGCACTTACTGAACACGGCAATGCTGCAGCTGTGCTGTAACACCGGCCCTCGCAGAGCTGGAGCACAGAGAGGAATTCACGGCAAAAAACAGCACGAGGCTCCCGGGCTCCTACACTAACAGCCCAGCCAAAGGGACCTTCACCTCCTTCCTCTCCCCACGCGAAGCAATTAGCCGACTTCAAAGAACTGCTCCTGAGGGCAGGAACCCCTTGGCTCGCGTTTGCAGGTCCCAGCGGCCAAACGCCGGGGCCGCGCCTCAGGCTCACGAGGAGCAGAGACCCCCGTGCCGGCGGGCCCCGCGCATGCGCTGTACACCCCCG